AAGGTATGTTCTTAAACAATGATATAACATATAAACTAATAATGACATAATTATCTGGTATTACCTACTTTATTTTCAGCAAAGGTAAAAGAGTCAGATATATAATACTCATTAATTGACGAAATTATAGGTCTTAACGAGAGGGTAGGTTATGTATATTTGGCAGCCCATAATATTTGGGTGCTGTTTGATTATAAATTGTTAATTTTCGCGCAATATCAATTGAAATATACTGATTAGTTTTTAATTTTGACACAATTTTATTAGCTTTTTTTGTTGTAAAGTAGATGTTGGATCTCTGTTCAATCTTCTGTAATAACCTTCATCTGATAATAACTCATTTGATAACTGTATACAGGTTTATGATAGAAATTTGTCAAAATATTAAGAATTTGTGCTCTATAATAATTATGTTTATTTTTATCACATTTGTCAATATTTTCTAAGTCAGAGAGAAGTTTAGTAACAGTAATATCTTTACAATTAGGTGAAAAGCAAAATTTTTTTCCCAAAGATAAGAAATTTACAATGTCACCAGGTATTTCAACTTCCAACATTTTCTTGAATTAATTTGTTTAATTTTATTCAAAAACTGACAGACGTGAAATTAAGTATACTGCTGCTAAGTTTTTGCTTCCAAGAAGACACTCGGTAAACAATTTGTGTATTTTCCCTTATGGCTGTAAGGGGTAGAAAAAGCAACCCCTATAAGACTTGTTTCATACCTAACTTTTATTTCTTAATACAACTTTACCATTTAAAAATTCATTCGAAATAGCCCGATTCATTCTAAACGAAAAAGGCCTCTTGTAATTTTTTTGCAAGATTTCTGGGCAAAAAATCTATTTAATTATTTATCTAGTAAGCAGCTGTCACGTTGACATTTTGTAATGGCAACTTAATTGTTATAATTAATTTCCTGTCACTTTTTGATATTTCAGAAAAAAAATAAAAACAAATATTTTGGCACCCTCTTTAAGCGGTTGTATCTCCATATATGTTCAAATGAGATTTTTTTATTTGAAAGAATCACCTTATTTTTCGACAGGAAATTACCCACTGAAATTTTTCGCACTTATTTAGTTATTCAGCTGACAATTAGATTATGTAAGAAAACTGAAATTTAGCAAAGTCATGTTAAAGCAGAACAGATAAAGTCGGTTAAATAAAGTACCTTTGTGACATGATTTTTTTATAAATTTCATTAATTTTTTATTAAAAGTACTCGAATTATATTATTTCTAATCTTTTATACTCACTCTTTAAATACTTATCTAAATATATCTCTAGTCCATTACATTTTGGAATAATATTCAATACAATGAAAAGTATATCTTTTTATCGATATACAGTCACAAGTAGGTACTATGCTTTGTAAGGTACCTACGTCATACTTCATATATTTTTAAACACGTTTTGCTTGCCAATATCCATACACTTAAATTATTGGTAAATAATTTAAGGAGGTTGTAATTCATTCATTTTGATTTTTGGGTAAGGATTTTTCCAAAAAAAAATTCCTATATGGCTCTATATGACTTTGCGAAGACTAGAAGTGAAACAGTTGCATTTAATCACGTGCTGTAATTCTTAACAAACAAATATTTTTAGCGAAGAAGTTATCAATATCGCAACAATGGTGCGACAATGAATAGTACTTGTTAGTTTATTTTAAAACAAGTAGAACTTAAAACTCTGCTAGTTTTTGATGAGATACACAAAAAATTAGATGAACTAAAAATATTGTTAAAACAAATATAGAATATCTATATATATTGTATTAACTGCGATATACCGAATAGAAACTCCAAACTTACTCTCATGCACTTAGTAGTATTTGTTGGAAATATCACAATTTCCTTAATTTGTATATATGTATAGAAGTCCGTCCTCAGATATATGTAGATCTGTTTAATTATAAATTTGCAACAGTTTTTAGCAAATCATAACAAACTATATGAGTATGCTATGTGTATGTATATAAATAAAGATACATGAAGAAATGTGATGAAAATGCAGAATATATTTCAATGATAAACAAACGTACTTGTGTACAAAATAATTCGGCTACCTGTATAGTTCACATCTTTTTAAAATTTAAAATTAATAAAGATTTATGTTTGCGACTGATAATAGACTCGGACCTAACAGATCATTATGCAACTTCATTACAAATAATATTAATTACATTAATTATAAAAAGAATAGAATTTGAAATGAGAAATATAAATTGGCAAAAAAATTACATTTCCACAGATTCAGAAGTTTTACAAAAACATGATTAAAGAAAATAAAAATGATAAACTAAATTTGTGGAAAACAATAACATGGATAATATACAGTTATTAAATAAAAAAAATAATAATAGTAAATACATTTGAAAAGGCAAATATTTTAATGAAATATTTAGACGTTGGGGAAAATAAAATTATTCCCGATAATAACTAGGTACTGTCTAAAAAGAACAGTTTGATCTACGCTGAAAAATAATGTAGAAAAAGAATTCTCAAACATAAAAAAATGGTTTAATAATATGACTCTTACTATAAATTTTGTTAAAACATTCTACAGGTATTCCATTTTTATCATATAAAAATAAATTACCAGCATATAGTGTTCTGGATAGGTATAACGGATGGTAGACAGATCATACATATTATAAATTCAACTAGTAACTTGAAATATTTAGGAATTTACATTGATTACAGATCGGGACACTTTAGACATTGATGCACTTAGACAGATAAAATTGCATGTACTCTGACAGTGAATAAAAAGCTTTATATATCAGTTAAATTTTTCATTTCCTTTTAAAATTTTTAATGTTTTGTACCGATTTTAAATGATCTGGGAGACGATTAAATATTTGTAGATTTACTGATGAAATATGAAAGTCATGTTTATGAACTGTATTGTAACTGTGAATATCTTCATTTATTATAAATGAGCGCACATTGTTAAATACATAAATACATAATATACAACGAGGTTAAACGTTAAAATTACATATTTCCTAAAAAAAAGGTCTACATGATTCCATAGAAGATATTTCAGCAACAGACCTAATAATCCTTTTTTTGTGCAATAAATACTGTAGGACTAGAAGCCGAACCAGCCCAGAAACATATACCATACCTTAAAATTTTTGCAAAATTATTTTTAAAAGTTGATTTTGTATTAAAACCGTGCGCAAATTTATAAAATGAAATTTTAATTTATTTCAGCTAATAATTAACTTATCGCAGTGATGCTTCCAATGCAAATTTTCGTCGATATAAAGGCCTAAAAATCGTATTGCATCATGTGAAAAAGATAAAAAAGTATCATTAATTTTAATCGTAAAATTATCTACTTTTTTTGGTAATTATGAATTTGTAATAAAACTAATAAATTAGTTTCCTCGACATTAAAAAAGAGGGTACCTATAACTATTAAGATCGCTCACAATATTATTTATATACAGTACGCGCCTAAAGTATGGAATAAATTCAGTAAAAACTAAACAAATTTTTTTTGGGAAAAAACAGGGCGATTTTTAATTTAAAAAATACATATTTTAGCATAAAAGGCGATTTTCAACCGTCATTTGTTTTCGAGTAATGACGTCATCAACATTTTTTTTAAATAGCAAAAATAAGAAGTGGATCTTATTTGTGGAAGGGCGAAATGGGCGTTGACTATTAAACGCCTTCATTATAGCCATCCTTGTCTATCACATGGATTTCTATGGCTTACTTTATCGCTCTCACGTAACTTCTGATAGACCATCGGTACTTTCCTACACTACACTACACTAGCCTATTCATATAAATTGTGAGTTCTTTCAATGAGCATACCTATTTAGTTGGAATAGTGGTTTATTTATATAATTCGTTTTCTTACTGAGCACTCTTATTATTTAGTACTCGTAGATAATTGCAAGTTTTATCGTAGAGCATATCTATTTCTCGAACATTGCTATATTATCTTGAAAATAATAATTGTTAGAGATGTTATATAAATTTACGTTGTCAAATTATTGAGGTTAGATATTTGGGGATTATTAGTAAGGATTATTTTGTGTTAGTAACGGTTTTTGAATTGCTATTATGAATTAAGGTGCTAAATCTGCACAATTGATTGGTCAGTTACGAGTAAGTTTAATGACATTTGACGTGAATAAGTTGTCTATACATTTGAGGCACTTTACTGTTTTGCTCGTCAGTACTGATAGTGTAGAGATCCATGGATAATGTTTTTGAGTGAGTCTTGTGATGTTTTTGTCACGGTACTCAGGTGGGGTGCATCGCGAGTTTGCCCATTGCAACCATTAACACCTGCTGCTGGTGGATTAGTCGGGAGGGTACCCTCAGGCTAATCTGTACCACAAGACCGGAGCACTCTGGGTGGGTGTTTCGTGAGTTTGCCCCTAACATCCATTGCACAAATACAGGTGATACCGGGGAGGGGTGTCAAGAACAGTACGAAAATGCTTAGATAAGACGCCATGTTTGTCTGATGTATTTACGTTTTTCTTTAATTACACATATATTTACGCCCGCAAGATAAATAACAAATATTTACATGTTTTCAACGTAATAATCGACAACCGATTTCTACCCTTCTTACCCTTTTCAACACTTTATTTCTCCTTAAGAAAAATACCAATGCCTACAATATCAGAAGTGGGATCACATGTGTTCAACGTAATAATCGGCAACCGATTTCTACCCTTCTTACCCCTTTCAACCCTTTATTTCTCCTTACGAAAAATACCAAAGCCTACATTTGTTACCTGTAATGGCATTGTTTGACCTAGATGTCGTTCATACAGTGTTAAGTTATGAGGAAGAAAATAATAAAATACGGATTTTGTAGACTCCTCAACATAACTTTCTGCTAGTACAGACGAGCTCTTGCACCCACCATGCCGTTTGATGGTTATATAAGCATTTCTGCTGATCAGCGGATTTGACCACTGCATCGGCTTCGCTGGACTTAGGACTATAAACACCATTAACACTTGCTAAGTATACTGAGTGTTCGACTTATTTTATTTTGCGTTTATCTAATATATGGCATTGAAGATGGCACTAGTAATAGCATTACGTGGAAACGTACAACCAATCATAAACGCAGTAGAAAATATGGGACTGAAACTTTGTATGGATTTTTAAGATCCTGGACCAAGCGATTGAAAGATGATAATAGTCCAGGCCCATGGCTTTTACCAGAGCTACGTCTTCTTTGTATTTGTGGTAGAAGTAGCAAGCGATATCGGGAGTGAAGCGGTCGGCAATTTTCTCTGGGTAATTGTGAGCCCAGTAGTCCCTTGCCATTCTCGTTCCAGTCTCCTTCGATCTGGGTGGCTGCGTTTGCCACACCCAATTTAAGGTCTTTGGGGAAGTACCGAGTGTTGATTGGGTCATCTGCCAAACTGGGAAACATGTAGTGTTATTTCCAGTAAGGTAAATACTGGAAAGTAAAAACTAGTACATCTTACCTTGTAGAAAGAAGGCATATAATATGATTAAAACTGTTATCTTAATGATTGGTATTGAGTAACTGATGAAGTTTCCTCCTTGAATTTCTATAAATATGTTAAATCCTCTTATCATTCTGTTAAATTCTGTTTACTATTATTGAGGAATTTTCAAGTATGTTAAAGTACCATCCATCCATTTATGACATAAACGCATTTCACTTGTATCTAAGAGATTGATTGTAACGGTGGCGATATCAGATAAAGATGTTTTTTTTAATTTAATAAAAACATTTTAAACATTTGAACCCTTTTATTTAAAAATATAGTAAATGAAACTTTTTATTTTGTACAAGTGTCAACCAGGCAACGTGTGGCGACCATGTTTGTGAACCAACTAGCAGACTTTCTTGGAATCCTGGTTCTTTCTGGATCCGTGAAGTTGACGTAGTACATACCCAAGAATGAACTGCAACAAAATCAACTTATCGAGTATTTACATGGATAATATGTATTACGCCTTATTGCACCTGACGGAATAACATAAGTCATTGGTGAGATAATTTTAGTTGTTTGCAATTATTTTAAATTTATGTTACTTACGTGTATCCTCCGGTCCATTCCCAATCATCAATAATACTCCAAGCCGTGTAGGTCGACAAGTTGACTCCATCTTCGTAGATGGCGTCCAAGCAAGCGCTCAAATAGCCCTTTAAGTAAACAAAAGAAATTGTAGGAAAAACATATAAAAGTGCTTAAAATATACCTGGTAGTATGATATTCTGTGGTCATCTTCCATTATTCCCGTGGTATCTGAAAGACCATTTTCTGTGATGACGATTTCAACATCACCATAAGTCTTCTTCAGCCACACAAGAAGATGTCTCAAACCCCATGGAACAACCTACGTGTTAAAATAACGTTTCCCATAAACTTAATAATTTTTTCGTTACTTTTTTTGGAAAGAAACTTACGCCAAACCAATCAGCAGAGCCGCTAGGCCATTCTGGCTTTTTCCATGTCACGACGCTGATATCCTTCCAATAAGCTGGATCGGCAATTGGTGCGTCTGAGGTGGCGTTAATCATATTGGTAGCGTAGTGGTTCAGCGCCAGGTAATCATAGGTACCCTTGACATAAGCGATTTCCTCTTCGGTGAAGGCAGGGAGGCGAGAAGTAGCAAATCCTTCCAATGCACTGCGTTGTGCGACTCTGTCTATCACCACCTGAGGCCAATTGCCGATGAAGATAGGGTTGGCGTAGAGGCCCAACTGAAATTTTTTTTGAGTTTATTTTTATGAGTTGTCGCTTACGGTTTTATTTGTAAAATAAGTCTCTTACGTTGAATTGGAGGGCTCTTTCAGACGCTTCTTGATCTTCTGCACTGTCACTTGCGGGTTCGAACCATGTCGTGTCGACGACCATAGCAACTCTTCCTGCAAAGATTGCAGGTAAGTTCGGTATTAACACCTAGACGCTCTTTGTCTTTGCATTTGTTGCATTTAGAAAAGGTCAAAACACATCCAAAACATCTAGATGTTAATACCGAACTTGCACAGCCTAAACAAAGCGAACCATGAAAACTGAAACTGAAACCTACCTTGACTGGCGGCCCTAAATTCGTTGTCGTAGATGTGGTAGGCTTTGGCGTGGGCCAAAATCACATTTTTGGTGCAGATGTACTCTCCCACCCCATTGGAAACTACGCCAGGAGCAAAAAATCCAGTACCATATCCAGCCTGGCAGACCTGTTTCGGTTCGTTGATGGTGATCCACATCTTCACGTCGTCTTTAAAGAGTTCGAAGCACAGCCTCGCGTATTCCGCGAAGAGATCCGCCACAGTTTCGTTCAACCAACCTCCAAGCTCATCCTCCAAGGATTGAGGAAGATCCCAGTGGTAAAGCGTCACCATGGGCTCCACGTTGACAGCTTTCAGTTCGGCAAACAAGTTCTTGTAGTATTGCACTCCGGCCTGGTTTATCTTGTCAGGGTATCCCGTGGGTAAGATTCTGGCCCAGGCGATGGACAGGCGGTAGTAGTCCAGTCCCATGGCTTTCACCATGGCCACGTCTTCTTTGTATTTGTGGTAGGAGTCGCAAGCGATGTCGGGAGTGGAACGGTCGACGATCATCTCCGGACGGGTGTGGGCGAAATGGTCCCAGACGGTTTCGGTTTTGCCGTCTTCTAGCCAGCCACCCTCGATCTGGGGGGCAGCATTGGCAACGCCAAATTTGAAGTTTTCGGGGAAGTACCGGGAATTGATCTCGTCGTCTGCGAATCTAAAATATAATCGGATATTAGGAAACTAGACACCTAAAGAATACGCGACAGCTGATTTTATGTTTATACAGTGTGTGTAAATAAATAAGTGCGAAAAAATTCAGGGGGTGATTCCCTGTTGAAAAATAAGGTGATGGGGTCTTTCATATAAAAAAATCTCATTTGAACATCCCCTCTATGAAGATACAACCGCTTAAGAGTCCGTTCTCTGTACACTGCTAAGGTATCGCTGCGGGGTCGGGTGCACGGGCGTTACAGCTGGAGGCGGAGACTATCGCTCTCCCACTACGATGATTTTACGGTGGACGTATTTAGGTTGATTTAAACGTGAAACTAACGTTACAATTTTTACTTCAATAATTGTGTCAATTTAGAATTAATACAATTATTGTACCGCAATTGTACAAACAAATTTCATCGCAATACAAAATTGAATAACCGACATCCCGTGGACGTCAATTTAACGCTCCTTCTCTTTTTTGGTTTTATGAGAAAAAGTTATTCTTGATGAAGAGTTCTGCATGGCCTAAAATCCAAAATGAAATAATCAGATTTCAATTTTTTGCAGTCGTATACGAGGTTTGTCGAAAAATGTAAATTTTGCTCAAGAGTAAAGTACCTTTATTTTTTAAAATATCGACAATCGTTATTTAAAGTTGATCCAAATAGAAAACTACGGTCAGGTATCCAATATTATCCATTTACCATTAAAAAACAGATTTTGTTATTTTTACAAACTCTTCTCCGTATTAGCATTGATAATTTACGTCTAGAGATAGACATTAAATCTAACAGGTAAGGTAGTCGGATTTTTGTAATTTTTGATATTTATGGTATGTGTAGTTTGGACCTTGAATAACAATTTTTCGAAGTAGTTCTACGCTACGTTCATAATTTACCGAGATAATCGATTTTGAAGTTTTACCTGACAGCTAAATCCACTAGATGTGACACACTCCTCAACTGGGAGCGTGGCCTAATAGGTAGCGTTAGGAACTGACAGTCAGTATATCGCTAGTTCGAGTCCGTCGCGTGAAATTTTTTTTTTTTTCATAACGCACCATATGGTATTTTATTATTTTTTTTCATCTCGAAAATTATGAACAAACGAAATATTATAATAAATACTTATGTATATGTAGGAATATTCAAATATTTCATTAAAAAGCACAATTGGTTGATAAACAATATTTATTATGAACTAACAATAAGATTTCATTAAAAAAAACAAACGAGGTCAGGTAGGATGTTCTTTTATTTTATATTTATGTTACTATTTGACACGCAGTGTGGCACGAGCCAGAATAGTAGTTATCATAAAAAAAATGGGAAGCAGAAATTTTTTAAGCATCTAGCTTCCTTTCTTTTTTTTCTTATCTCGAAAATTATGAACAAACGAAATATTATGATAACTGTATGTAGGAATATTTTTCAAGTGTTTAATTAACATTTTGAGCTAGGTTGTGTGGGTCGTGATTAAAAAAACACACCTGCTCGGGCATAGAAAGTTTCTGCTTCCCATGTTTCTATGATAACTATCATTCTGGCTTATGCCACACTGCGTAAAATTTCAAATACTAAAATTAAAATAAAAAACCTACCTGACCTTGTTTGTTTTTTTTTAAAGAAACTTTATTGTTAATTCATAATAAATATTGTTTATCAACCAATTGTGCATTTTAATGAAATATTTGAAGAATATTTCTACATATACGTAAGTGTTTACTATAATATTTCGTTTGTTCATAATTTTCGAGATGAAAAAAATAATAAAAAACTATATGGTGCGTTTTGAAAAAAAAAATGTCACGCGACGGACTCGAACCAGCCATCTCGTGACTGTCAGTCCCGAACGCTACCAATTACGCCACGCTCCCAGTTGAGAAATGGGTCACATAATGCTAGTGGATTTAGCTGTCAGGTAAAACTTCAAAATTGATTATCTCGGTAATTTATGAACGTTGCGTCGAACTACTTCGAAAAATTCTTATTCAAGGTCCAAACTACACATACCATAAATATCAAAAATTACAAAAATCCGACTACCTTACCTTCTCCTGTAAGATGCACTGACAAACCAATGGAATTTTTGATAGCAAACGTCAAAACGCTAGTTACAATTTATAAAATACAAGAAATGGCAGCTCTGTTAACTTCTTAGGAGAAAATTTAAATAGTTTTGATTGTGGGAGATGATTATAAAACTCATCAAGAAGCGGCAGTCATTTTTAATAACAGGCATCCGAATAGAAATCTCGGAGAATAAGTTCAATATGACCAAAAATAATTAAAAATCGTCAATATTCATCAACGAGCACTCGATCATAATTGAGTTATTTCACTAGTATGACCAGGTGCATTTGGAAACAAAAAACGTATACTTTCTCAAGAAAAACGGCAAAAAACGAAAACGGGATTATTGTCGGCATTTCCTTTAATAAACATGGGCTGGGATGGAAACGCCGAAATGTTGTGCTGTACAAATTAAATATACTATTACTATTAAAAATTTAATTATTACCGCTGATAGTGCAGTAAAAACATTTATTAAAAAATACATTTTTTAGTTTTCCGCTAGAAATAACGTTGCCTGGCTGTGCCGTACAACTTTTAACTCAAGATAGTTTTTATATCAATCTCTGATATAATATCTAATTGGATGCAAAAACTTCTTCCAATGAAAATAAAAGAATCGAACCCCGCAAGATCGATTAATTCAATACTCTCAATTGAAAACGTATAGATTATCACTGACTAGATATTTCTTTGAACTCCGGTCCTGTCCGCAATTACCAATCTCTAAGCCCATCCCACTGAGTAAAACACACGTGGTTGCAGCATTTAAAATATATTCGTTTCTGAAGTTGTAGACGTTCGGGATTTAGCATAGAATTTTGAGTAATTTTTATCAAATCAATATAATTTTGGTATCATTGCAAAGCTAAAAGATAGACCCACTTCCCTCTTGTAAGCAATTTTTGATTTAAGCCTTTATTTTTACGTAAATAAATTGTAAATATGACGATTTCTTGCATAGTTTACTCTTTAAATTTAAACAATTAGAAACCAATTTTGAAAAAACTGTTACAAGACAGCAGTAGGAAAACACTTTGTCTTTCGATTGGTTTTTGATTTAAACCGCTATGTTTATTCGTTTTCCAAATATGTGTTATGGGCCGAACCCTTAAAATGGGTTTATTTCAAGCGCGCGACGGACTCTTAAAGAGGGTGCCAAAAAAGTAGATTTTATTTTTTTCTGAAATACCAAAAAATTACAGAAATGAAATTAAATAGACGTTTCTTGCTATCGAGAAGGCACTCAGTAAACTATTTGTTGATTTTCCCTTACGGTTATAAGGTATAGAAAGAAACACCCCTAAGACTTATTTCACACGTAACTTTTATTTCTTAATACAACCTTACCATTTAAAAATTCATTTGAGATAGCCTGATTCATTTTAAACAAAAAAGGCCTCTTGTAATTTTTTGCAAGATTAACGGTTTCTGGGTAAAAAATCTATTTAAAATCTATTACACGGCGTGATTGGCATAGGGTAGTTTTATCGAACTGTAATTTATCTAGTAGGCTGCTGTCACGTTGACAATTTGTAATGGCAACTTAATTGTTATAATCAATTCAATAATTTTATTAAATATGTGAAAAATCAAACTGTTATAAATTATTAAAAACTAATAGAAACTATAATAAATATTGAATGTTTGTTTTTGACCCACCGAATTTTTTTGCACTTATTTATTTACACCCTGTATATCGTTTTTGAGATGGATTCTATAGCTATATGATTTTGTCTGTTTTTGATCCTAAGATACATGGATCTGTCCTGGATATTAATCGTAAATCCGTTAGGCTTAAACGAATAGACAAAATCACGAATCGTCATGTTCCTTTTGTCAAAGTAATTCAGTTTATATTATGTAAGAAAAATGAAATTTAGCAGTCAAAAATTTGTATAAGCAAAACAGATAATGTTGATTAAAGAAAGTATGTAACATGAATTTTTATAAATTTGATTAATTTATGATTAAAGCAAACTATAAATTTCTAAGTTTTGTCTATGGGACAACGTCCTACTAGATTTTTATTAACTTCTTTTTATCAGTATCAAATATTCTACGGAAAAAAAATGTTTTTTCTCCTTAGTACCTTAGTCTTTACATTTAAATCAGAGAGTTATAAAACGTACCTATAAAAACATTGGACTTACCCCAGAGATATCAGAGACAAAACGAAGATGAAGAGCTTCATGATTCCGTAAAGTTATTGTTACGGACTACTCGAATTATATTATTTCTAATCTTTTATACTCTTTAGGTACTTATCTAAATATATCACTAATCCATTTACATTTTGGAAAAATATTCAATGCAATTAAAAATTTATCTATTTAAGAGATACAGCTACAAGTACCATATTTTGGAAGGTACGTCATACTTAATATATTTTTAAACACGTTCCGCTTGCCAGTATATCTACAGGGTGTCCACACTTATCGGCGCACTATTGCTAACTCCGTTATTATTGGAAATACGAAATCGATTAAATTAGCAAACTAGTAGCATTTTTTCCATCGATGGTGCAATCGAAAAAACAATTGAGCATCGCGTTTTCGTAATTTTTTAAAAATTATGTTTTTTTTTTAATGGAACACCCTGTATATATTTACATAGTTTAAAAGAAAAAATTATTAGTACATAAGTCTCTTCAATTGAAAAATAAATAAGAAATAGGCATCTGAAGTTTTTCACATTTATTTCAATGAAATGCATAACCAGTAACGTCAACAATATAAACAGTAATAAAGTTAAGTTAATAAATGTTCAAAAACGATGCCTTCTTGTTCGATACATTTCTGAACCCTTGCGGTAACACTGAATAGTTCTGCCATCAATGCTTCCCAAAATGTTTCTAATGCTATTTTCTAATTATAACACATTATTGTATTGCTGTCTAGTTAAGTGTGGACACCCTGTATACACTTGAACGTGTATTATTGATAAATAATTTAAGGAGGTTGTAATTCATTCATTTCACGAATTCACTAAATGATACAAAAAAACTACAAATCTATGAGAACGCGTTGTCATATTCTGCAACTTGAGAAGGTAAATCGATTTAGATCAAGCTTCAATTTAGCTCCATTAAAAAGTTACGAAACATTGAAGTTTTTTAAAATTCCATTTCTTAAGATAACTCAGATACCTACCAAATTTTATAGAAAAATCTTAAAAAGTAACTACGCCCCTTTAGTTGAGACAGTTTACTACTTGAATTATCAAATTTATATTTTTAGCGCTAAAATCTTACTCATTTTGTACGTCACATATTTTCCTGTCGGGAATGGTAAAATTATTTGAAAGAGACACATGGGCGTAGCTACACTCTTTGCTTGGGGTTGGCCCAGAGCTACAAACTCTATGTAGGCTTAAAGAAAAACGACTTACCAATATAAAATTTGAACACGTTTTGATTTGATCCTAAAAAAAGGCCACGCAGTCACCGACTTAACGAAATGACTTATTTTCTGGGGTGGGCACCGGGCTTTCTGGGATGGGCCGTCGACACCCCTGCCCCCTAGCTACGCCCATGAAGAGACAACACACTGCAAATCGAATTTACATTATTTCTTTCTCATTTTTAGACATTTGCCTATTTCTTCTCAAATGACTCAATTTTTTAAACATTCATAACGCATTCATTGGGTAGTACCTAAAAATATACTGTTTCTAACTTGCTTAGATTTTCAAAAACTCTAAATTCACTGACAATTACTCTTAAGAGAACAATCTCGCAATGACATTGCGAAGATTGGTAGTGAAACAGTTGCATTTAATCATGATCACGTGCTGTATTTCTTAACATCCGAATATTTTTAGCAAAAAACTTATCAGCGTCGTACGTAATAATGGTACGACAATTAATGGTACTTGTTAGTTTATTTTAAAACAAGTGGGACTTAAAATTCTGCTAGTTGTTGATGAAGATAATAATATATCGATATTAGTAGTATTCTTAACAACATCTATAGTACGTTTTTTTAAGCATATCTTCGAAAACACTTCCAAATTTGATGATCATCTGTAATAACAATTATAAGTGTTTGTTACTTCTCAAATAACAAGTGGTATGACGAATATATTGATGGGAAATCTAACAGAAAATTTTCCAGTTGAAATGTTGGTATTTAGCATTCAGCACTTGCTTTGCGTAGAAAAAACTATCTACTTAAGTTCTAAAGTGCTATAGGGTGACCAAAATCTAAATTTGTTACCTGCATATTTTGACTTCTGAAGATCTTCAGTGATTTTTTGAAGACTACAGGGTTATGGAGTAATTCTGACAACGGCTGCGGATCCAGGAGGTAAAATTACGTCGAAAAACATGTGTCACGTGTTAAGATCTAGTCACTTCCTAAATTTCTTCATTTTACTGATTTTTTACTGAAGATTTTTAGCGATTTTCTAAAGGTATTCAGCGATTTACGGAAAACTCAAGGGTAATGGGACAAAACAGACTATGGATTCGTGCTCAGGAGACAACAATACACAGGAAATCATATGCCGCATGTAAAGGTCATATAACTTTTTTTTTGTTGGCCGGTGAATCATACTGAACATATCTGGACGTTACAAAATCCGCATGATTAGATCACGACGATTTCAGCAATTTTTCAGTGTCAACTTTGGGGATGGCATTTTCAACAATAATTTACTGCCTGTAGTACATGTTTTAAGTGATCGTTTAACCGCAAATCTGTATAGAACATTCTTGGAAAACATCCTTTTTGTCTTTATTGATGACGGAAAGCTTAGTATTGTTAAAAATATATGGCATCAGCACGATGGTTCACCACCACCTAGGTGGAGACAAGTATCTGCTTGGTTAAATGATCATTTCCGGAATAAATGGATAGGTCAACAAGGTCTAATAGCATGGCCACCGCGTTCCCCATATCTAAATCCTTTGGACTTTTATTTATGGGGACATATGAAGCAGCTTACCTACCATGTTGAAATCACTACCCGTCAGAAGTTACTTGAAAGAATGCAGTTATCCAGATAAGAAATGATCCAAATCTCATCCGTCGAGTGACGGAATCTTCAGTTGGCCAATGTGAGGCTTGCATTCGAGCCGTGGGTGGACATTTTGAGCAATTTTTATAGTCTTAAGATTTGTTAATTACTAAAGGTTGACTAATGTTTAAACTTTAAACATAAATAATAATTATTGTTACGTATACCATAATTTTTTTTTATCAGGCTACTTTGAAATATGAAATTATATTTTTTTAAATGCTTGTAAATCTAAACAAAAACGAATCGGATCTATGTTCATTTAAAAAAAATGTTTGAAATTAACACGGCTACCCTTTGTCAAAGTTTAGAGCTTGAGCTTGTAGAACACCCTGTATATATCGTTCATGAAACTTTTTCTTGTTTAGTGGGAAGAGCCTGACTGTAATGGTGGTAATAAGAGGAAAGAGGAATGTATTGCTAATTTAACGAAATGCTAAGTCACGTGAAACATTTTACCTATTTACAATTACAAATATACACACTAGAATAATAAATGAGATTTCTTATTCTGTACAAGTGTCTACCAGGCAACGTGTGGCGACCATGTTTGTGAACCAACTGGCAGACTTTCTTGGAATCCTGGTTCTTTCTGGATCCGTGAAATTCACGTAGTACATGCCCAAGAATGAACTGCAACAAAATAGTGAATGCATTTTATATATACAATACGAGTACATTTTAGTTGAATCGCCCTTAGTCAAAATTGTATTTAAAGATGGCATTAATTCCGAAGTGCACAATTTTTTGCGTTTAGCTAGTTTTTTGCTAGTAGATGAGAAAAAACAAACAATTGTTCTGCACGGGAGCGGACCGGAAAAATTCGGGAAATAGTTGGAAAAGTGCAAAAAAACTTATTTCGTGATCAACTTGGAAAGTATTAAGAATCTCACAAACATACAAATGACTAAAGTTGTGCAACATAAAATTCTTTATAAAAAAGATATTTGTGATATTTTTGAGAAAACTGAATTTTGTCCCAAAATTTTATTTAGAAAATTTGGGATGAAGGTGAAATAATACAAAGAGACAAGAGATTCGTAGAAAATTTAGGATTTACTACAGCTGGTATGTTTTTTTTAATGTAATTCACAAAATATACACTAGATCCACTGAGTTATCTATGATAACTCATCTTCGTCGCTATAAGAACGCTTTGTATACGAAATCTCGTCGCCACTCTCGTTTTTATGGAAAAACAATAATTATTAAACATAGATATAAAAATTCAAATCTTCTTCCATAGACTTGTACACTTTTAACGTTTTAACTTTATCCATTACAGTATCAGGTAATTTATAAATTGCGCAACACATTTTCTGTCTTATTGTCAAAATTGATGACAGCATTTCAGGAGACAGAATTACTCACACATTTTCTCATCAGGAGTTCGTTGTTCTAGTTTAAAATTTTCCACTATCACAACCGAAAAGTTATTTATCATTAGTAAAGATATAATATACTTTCATGCATTGTCATCGACAAACGAGAGAGTAGTCGCACATTTAGTGCAGCGCCGCTTTGGCTGATTTGCATAAGAATCGTCATTTTATGTAAATACCTAAATGTCTGTTAAATAACGCACTGTACGAAAAAATCTATAAGAACCTTTTTTGTACAGAATTCTATGCTATACAAATCTGAACCTTTGCATGTTTGTGAAATTCTCGATACTTTTCAAGATGTACACGAAATGCGTTTTTTTTTTGTAGTTTTCCGGCCATTTCCCGAATTTTCCCGGTCCACTCCAGTGCAGAGAAATCCTCACCTACTAGCAAAATCCTAGTCATGTGCAAAAAATTGTGCACTTAGGAATTACTGCCACCTCAAAACCTCTAGCAACTGGACCCTTTTCCTTAATATCCGTCTTTGTTGCACCTGACGGAATAACAGAAGTTATTGGTGAGATAACTTTAGTTGTTTGCAAATATTTTTAATATTATTTTAAATGTACGTTACTTACGTGTATCCACCGTTCCATTCCCAATCATCGATGATACTCCAAACCGTGTAGGTCGACAAGTTGACACCGTCTTCGTAGATGGCGTCCAAGCAAGCGCTCAAGTAACCCTTCAAGCAAAAATATTAGAAACTGCACAATAAAGGGTAAACAGTTACCTGATAATATGTTATTCTATGGTCATCTTCCATTATTCCCGTGGTATCTGAAAGGCCACTTTCTGTGATGACGATTTCAACATCACCATAAGTCTTCTTCAGCCATACAAGAAGATGCCTCAAACCCCACGGAACAGCCTACGTGTTAAAATAACGTTTTCCATAAACCTAAGAATTTTTTCACAACTTTTTTTTGGAAAGAGACTTACGCCAGTCCAAAAAGCAGAGCTGCTAGGCCATTCTGGCTTTCTCCATAACACGACGCTGACGTCGTTTTCATAACTTGTGTTACCAATTGGTGCATCTGCGGTGGCGTTAATCATATTGGTAGAGTAGTGGTTCAGCGCCAGGTAATCATAGGTACCCTTGACATAAGCTATTTCCTCGTCGGTGAAGGCTGGGAGACGGGAAGTGGCGAATCCTTCCAACGCACTGCGTTGTGCGACTCTGTCTATCACCACCTGAGGCCAATTGCCGATGAAGATAGGGTTGGCGTAGAGGCCCAACTGAAAATTCATTAATCGGACATTTATGAGTTGTCGCTTACGGTTTTATTTGTAAAATAAGTCTCTTACGTTGAATTGGAGGGCTCTTTCGGACGCTTCTTGATCTTCTGCACTGTCACTTCCGGGTTCAAACCATGTCGTGTCGACGACCATAGCAACTCTTCCTGCAAAGATTGCAGGTAAGTGCGGTATTAACATCTAGACGCTCTTTGTCTCTTCATTTCTTGCATTTAGAAAAAGTTAAAACACATACAAAGCATCGAGATGTTAATACCGAACTTGCGCAGCCTAAACAAAGCGAACTGAAAAATTGAAGCTGAAGCCTACCTTGATTGGTGGCCCTAAATTCCTTGTCGTAGATGTGGTAAGCCTTCGCATGAGCCAAAATTACATTTTTAGCGCATATGTACTCTCCAACCCCATTGGAAACTACGCCAGGAGCAAAAAATCCAGTACCATAACCAGAATTACAGACTTGTTTCGGTTCGTTGATGGTGATCCAGATCTTTACGTCATCTTTAAAGAGTTCGAAGCAGATCCTCGCGTATTCCGCGAAGAGATCCGCCACAGTTTCGTTCAACCAACCTCCAAGCTCATCCTCCAAGGATTGAGGAAGATCCCAGTGGTAAAGCGTCACCATAGGTTCCACGTTGACAGCTTTCAGTTCGGCGAACAAGTTCTTGTAGTACTGCACTCCGGCCTGGTTTACCTTGTCGGGGTATCCCGTGGGTAAGATTCTGGTCCAGGCGATGGACAGGCGGTAGTGATCCAGTCCCATGGCTTTCACCATGGCCACGTCTTCTTTGTATTTGTGGTAGGAATCGCAAGCGATGTCGGGGGTGGAGCGGTCAACGATCTTCTCTGGATAGGTGTGGGCGAAATGATCCCAGACGCTTTCGGTTTTGCCGTCTTCGAGCCAGCCACCCTCGATCTGGGTGGCAGCATTGGCGACGCCAAATTTGAAGTTTTTGGGGAAGTACCGGGAATTGATCTCGTCGTCTGTGAATCTAAAATATAATGGATATTAGGAAACTAGACACCTAAAGAGTACGCGAAACCTGATTTTCTGATCAAAAATATGTGTATACAGGGTGTAAATAAATAAGTGCCAAAAAAAATTAAGGGGGTGATTTCCTGTTGAAAAATAAGATGGGTCCTTTATATAAAAAAATCTCATTTGAGCATGCCCTGTGAAGATACAACCGCTTAAGGGTGCCAAAAAAGTAGTTAATTTTTTTCTGAAATACCTACCAAAAACTGACAAAAATGAATTAAGTAAACGTTTTTTGCTGCTGAGAAGACAATCAGTAAACAATTTATTGATTTTCCCTTACGGTTGTAAGGTGTAGAAAAAGCCACCCCTAACTTGTTTTATCCATAACTTTTATTTCTTACCTTGCCATTTAAAAATTCATTTCAGATAGCTTGATTCATTCTAAACAAAAAAGGCCTCTTGTAATTTTTTGCAAGATTTCTGAACAAATAATCTATTTAATAATTTATCTAGTAGGAGGTTGTCAAGTTGGCATTTTGTAATGGCAACTTAATTGTTATAATTAATTCTATAATTTTATTAAATTTGCGAAGAAACAAACTGTTTTAAATTATTAAATATTAATAGAAATTATATTAAATGTTGAATGTTTGTTTCTTCACATATTTAACAAAATTATTGTATTAATTCTAACAATTAAGTTGCCATTACAAAATGTCAACGTGACAGTCGCCTACTAGATAAATTATAGTTTTATAAAATGTTTACTGTTATACTCTATATCAACCATACCATGTAATTAATTTTAAATAAATTTTTTGCTTAGAAATAGTTAATTTTACGAAAAAAAATTACATATGAAACAAGTCTTAGAGGTGGCTTTTTCTACCCCTTACAAGGAGAAAATCAACAAATTGTTTACTGAGTGTCTTCTCGTCAGCAAAAAACGTCTACTTAATTTCATTTTTGTTGGTTTTCGGTATTTCAGAAAAAAATTAAAAACTACTTTTTTGGCACCCTCTTTAAGCGGTTGTATTTTCACAGTGGATGATCAAATGAGATTTTTTATTTTTCAACAGGAAATCACCCACTGAATTATTTCGCACTTATGTACTTATTCAGCTGATTGTGAGATTAGGAAAGAAAACTGAAATTTAGCCAAGTTAAAAATTTATTAAAGAAGAGAAAATAAATAATGTTGGTTAAAAGTACCTATGTAACATGAATTTTTATAAATTACATTAATTTATGATTAAAGTAAATTATACATTTTTAATTTTTGTCTATGGGACAACATCTTACTTGATTTTTATTAACTTCTTTTTATCAGTATCAAATATTCTACGGAAAAAATGTTTTTTCTCTTTAGTACCTTAGTCTTTACATTTAGATCAGAGTTATAAAACGTACCTATAAAAGCATTGGACTTACCCCAGTGATATCAGGGACAAAACGAAGATAACGACCTTCATGATTCCGAAAGGTTATTGTTACGGACTACGCGAATTATATTATTTCTAATCTTTTATACTCTTTAGGTACTTATCAAAATATCACGTTTCTCTAGTATGTCCATACACTTGAACGTTTGGACCCTTAAAAATTATTGATAAATAATTCAGGAGGTTGCAAGTCATTCATTTTCACGAATTTACTAAATTATCCATTTTCACGAATTTACTAAAAGATTCGTTTTCACGAATTTACTAACAGATTCATTTTCACGAATATACTAAATGAAAGAGTACGATACAAAAAAACAACTACAAATCTATGAAAACTACTGAAATTACTGAATTTTGCTTTTTGGTAAGTACATAAATTATTTTTAATACGTATGACTATTTGGACGATGTGAATCTATGGGTACTTTAACTACATATTTTTCAAATAAATAATTTGATTAAAAGTTAAGTTCCTGTTTAAAGAGATTCATAATTACTAAAATTCGAGCTAAACTTTAAGCACAACACTATCTTCGTACTACAAAATCGATACATTTTATTTTATTTATTTAAAAACTGGAAAACAATTGTCTCGAAATTTACTAATTGTTTTACAATAATAGTTGTTTACATTTTTTCCGTAGGACAAGTCTGCCTCGTACACACGTGGTGTATATCAGCAGGTTAAACGCTGTTGTCACGTTGTGATGAAACTCCTCAATACTAATACTCGCTATGTTTTGAAAACTGTTAATCTTACACCCCTGTAATATTCAACTTTTTTGTTCATTTACGATTACTCTATCTCATGCTGAAGTAATAGCAGTCAAACTTCTTACATCCTGTATTTCCCTGTCGGAATTGGTAAGAGTATTTGAAAGATACAGTACACTGCAAATCGAATTTATATTATTTGTTTCTCATTTTTAGACATTTGACTATTTTTCCTCAAATTACTCAATTTTTGAAACATTCATAACGCATTTCATTGGGTGGTAAATACAAATAAGAAGGTACTGTTTTCAACTTGCTTAGATTTTCTAAAACTCTTGTCAAAAAACTGCTATAAATTCACTGAAAATTACGCATAAAAACGCTCTTCTTAAGGGCGCCATATTCTTTAAATAGTGTTTTCCGCAAAGACAAATAATTTCAAACATTTAATAACTGAATAATCTAAAGCTTATCAAATAATAGGAATGTTATGTCATGCCACCTGAGTATTTTCAAAGACGCCGCAGTAAAACGAATAAACAGGTGCAAAAAACGATCAAACCATCAAGGTTTTAGGTACTGAAATCTACGAAAATACTAACTTTTTTATATATAACTCCACATGTAAATATTCTTATAACATTTACTTGCTTAGTCCTACATATAAAATTGTTTACTTTTATTTATAAGTACGTGAAAATAATTCTTAAAATGTGGGATTAGGATAACAGCAAACGCATGTTTTACAAACGCTATTTTCTTAGTTATTATTTTATTTGAGTAAATTTAAATAGTAACAGTGAATAAACAGAACACCAAGGATTTTATTTTTGTGCTTACTTTTGTTGTACACGTTTTAGTTTTCAAGATTTCAGTACCTAAAAACGCCAGAAATTTGACTATTTCTAGGCCAGGGATATGGCCACCTTTTAATACAACTTTTACGAGGTTTTTTTTTCCAAAATTCTACACAACTTGGCAATCCCGCACTAAATGATAAACTGTTTATTTCGCCATATTTTCTCGGAAATCCATATGTTTAAAAATATACAGGGTGTTCTATTTAAAAAATGTAATATTTGGCCTGTCCCGCTTTTACCCATCACCCTGTATGTATCAAATTAATTTTGTAGTTTAAGTTTCTTGATTCTGTATAACTTTTATATAAACTCTTTTTTTGTATTATAAGTAAGGGAGTTATTTTACTTTCTCACACTAATGGCTCACCCTGTATAATATTCATGAAACTTTTTTCGGTTCGTTTCAAATAAACTTTCTAGTACGTACCTACCTAACTAAAATGTAACCGAAATGTAATGTGTTCCAGTGGGAAAAGCATGACTGTAATGGTGATAAGAGGAAAGAGGAATGTTTTGCTAATTTAACAAAATGCTTAAAATCACGTGAACTTATTATTTGCAAATATACACACTAAAATAATAAATGAGACTTTTTATTCTGTACAAGTATCTACCAGGCAACGAGTGGCGACCATGTTTGTGAACCAACTGGCAGACTTTCTTGGAATCCTGGTTCTTTCTGGATCCGTGAAATTCACGTAGTACATGCCCAAGAATGAACTGCAACAAAATCAATTTATCAACCCTTTAATGAGTAGTATGTATTACAACAGTCCTTATTGCACCTGACGGAATAACAGAAGTCAAGAATTTTAGTTGTTTTCGCATATTTTTAATATTATTTTAAATGTATATTACTTACGTGTATCCGCCGTTCCATTCCCAATCATCGATGATACTCCAAGCCGTGTAGGTCGACAAGTTCACTCCGTCTTCGTAGATAGCGTCCAAACAAGCGCTCAAGTAACCCTTCAAGCAAAAATATTAGAAACTGCAGAATAAACGGTAAACAATTACCTGATAATACGATATTCTATGGTCATCTTCCATTATGCCAGTAGTATCTGAAAGACCATTTTCTGTGATGACTATTTCAACATCACCATAAGTCTTCTTTAGCCACACCAGAAGATGTCTCAAACCCCACGGGACAACCTATGCGTTAAAATAACATTTCCCATAATTGTTTTGAATCATCATACTTACGGCAAACCAATCAGCAGCACCGCTCGGCCACTCCGGTTGCCTCCAAGTCAATACACTAATGTCGTTTGCATAACTTGGATCTCCAATTGGTGAGTCCGCTGTGGCGTTGGCCATGTTGGTGGAGTAATGGTTTAAGGCCAGATAATCGTAGGTACCCTTGACATAAGCGATTTCCTCGTCGGTGAAGGAGGGGAGGCGGGAAGAGTTGAATCCTTCCAATTCACTGCGTTGTGCGACTCTGTCTATCACTACTTGTGGCCAGTTTCCGATGAAGATCGGGTTGGCGTATAGGCCAAACTAAAATTTTGGACGAATCGAATTAGATTTTTGCAGAACGTTGAAACACATGGCTGAGTAAGAGAAAGATAAACAACGCCGACTATTTACTACTTAACAACAGTTTTGTATCTGCTGAACTGACCATGTATATGGTGCTGGCTCTTTCAGGGGTCCGTTCTATAATTAGCTTCAGCGGAATTTCAGTAAAACGCACTAAATATTTTTGTTAAGAGTAGTTGGCAACCTGCTAGGCTAGGGAAATCAGTGAACAAACTTAATGAAGAATGAACACACCGTATTTTGCATCAACTGTTGTGCGGTCTATCAGTAAGGTTGTTAGTTTCCCAGTTTCTCTAAGCAAGCCCGCCAACCCCTCAACAAAAATTTTAGTGCGTTTTACTGAAATTCTACTGAACTAATTACGGAACACACACCTGGAGTACAATGCAAAAAACAATGTATAAGACAATAATAGTTGTTGAACAAGGAAGTAAATATCTGCAATTGTCACCTTTTCAATGTGAAGTTGGAAGTAGACGAGTTCAGGTTATCCAAACCAAGAGAGCACTACATATGTACACACTTCAACAGAGAACATTTAGCAGTGTGGCAAAATCATAGACGTTTACTTCTTCGACCATCTTTAAAAATAGCTCTACAATAAAGTAAACGACTTACGTTAAACTGGAGGATTCTCTCTGATGCTTCCTGATCTTCTTCGCTGTCACTTCCGGGTTCGTACCATGTCGTATCGATGACCATAGCGATCCTTCCTTTAAGTGGCAAATTGGGAGGATGAATAAAATGGTAAGGCAAAGAAAGGAAAAATTTAATAAAAATGGTATAAACCTAGGTCAAATCTAGACTGATCTCTGGGTGTTGTATAAAATCGTCGAGTAAAATTCACTACCACTCTTTTGTAAAGTTACCACGTATCTTCTTTATGCACAGTATCTGTTGCAATGTTTACGTATATACAGCATTTAAGCAGTCAAGTGACTCTACTCTAGTGTGTAGTATGTTCCATATGATGATGGTATCAGGAGAATGTTTTTCCGTACATAAACATCAACAAACACGTAATACCGTAGACTCAAAATTCAATCATAAGTTAGTTAAAAACTTAAAAAGCTGAATGAAACTATTTATAGGAAGTAGAGTTTTTTTTTGTAATAGCATGCGCGCTGTTTATAAACAGTAACTGTATATTATAGGCATGGGTGTAGCTACAATTTTTGCTTGGAGTGGGCCAGGGCTGCAAGCTCTATGGAGGCGTTTAAAAAAAAAGAGCTCTCGCTCGCAATCAGGCTTTCAACGATATCAAATTTGAACACGTTTTGATTTTGATTCTAAAAAAAGGCCGCAATGTTTTTTTCTAGGGTGGGCACCGGGTTCTCTCGGGTGGGCCGTGCACACCCCTGCCCCCCACTAGCTACGCCCATGGATAATTGTTACGATGTCAATTGGAACCTGTAAATCTTAAAGCTCAGGACCGTATGCACTTCTCCTGAAATTTCTTCCTATGCTTTGACCATGATGTGGCTCGTACTTTATACTCGAATAGCAATTCGGCGAGTCCGGTATTGATAAACTAGTCCGCCTGATGTAGAATTGACGGCGGCGCGCTGGTCATCAAAGCAAACCTGTATTGGTCCACTAGGTCGTAAATAATTTTTTTGTATGGTACACGGGTTCACTTAGCTTTGCCGCTTTGCCAGTGCAGTGCAGAGCATTGCTTGGCGGGGTATGTTGTTGGTATAATACGTATTATTATTTATTAGTTGATATTATTATTTGTTCATAACGTAACCAGTAAAGGGTAATAGTTATTAAAATAAATGTTATATGTAATTATCTAGTAATTTAGCGTGGCTCTCTGGAGACTCTTTGAAGCGGAAGATAACGAAATAACTCGGGAAAATCCCCAAATAGTGGAACCGGTCGGAAGTATCGAAACAAACTCAAGAGTTTAAAAACAAAGATTTACACGTAAAAAGTCAACGTATTATATTAAATATATATGAATGTTTGAAAATTGAAAATAGCGAACAATGTGATAAAAAAGTTAGGAAACGTATTAACGAATTAACTAAGATATCAAAAACGACAATTTATCGCGTAATTAAAGGATTGATCACGGTACAAAGAGGAAACCGAAAAATACAAAATTAAAGAAAATTGACGATTTTACCAGATGTAATGCGGCGCACAATTTATAATATGTATAAAGAAAATAAAGTTCCTACTTTAAACATGATTCGAGATAAATTAAGCGATTATCCTGATTATAATTATAAATCTTTAGATATTTTACGACATACTTTATTACAATGCGATTTTAAACATAAAAAACTTGACAATCGTATGGTAATTATACGGTAATATAGCTCGGAATATAGTATATCTAGATGAGACAGGGCTAAATTTTTCTGGACGTCTATGGATTCCGTAGAATTTATGAGTTAAATGTTTTTATGCGGTTCCAATTGAGATCGTAACAACATACCATTTCCTGTGTAAAACTTTTTAAAATATTTGTTCCGTATAACAATAGTCAAAAGTGAACATTGTTTTTTAGCTTTAAAAAAAATGAGACAAACAATAACTGATTTAAATTAAAAACGTAGGTACCTTGATTGGTAGCCCTAAATTCATCATTGTAGATGTGGTAAGCCTTCGCGTGAGCCAAAATTACATTCTTAGCGCATATGTACTCTCCAACCCCATTGGAAACGACACCAGGAGCGAGAAGTCCAGTGCCGTATCCACCTTGACAGACCTGCTTCGGTTCGTTGATGGTGATCCACATCTTCACGTCATCTTTAAACAGTTCGAAGCACAACCTCGCGTATTCCGCGAAGTGATCCGCCATCGTTTCGTCCAACCAACCTCCGTGCAAATCCTCCAGATTCTGGGGAAGATCCCAGTGGTACAGAGTCACCATGGGCTCCACGTTGGCAGCTTTCAGTTCTGCGAACAAGTTCTTGTAGTACTGTACGCCGGCCTGATTTACTTTGTCAGCGTGTCCCGTGGGCAAGATCCTTGCCCAGGCGATGGATAGGCGGTAGTAGTCCAGTCCCATGGCTTTCACCATGGCCACATCTTCTTTGTATTTGTGGTAGGAGTCGCAAGCTATGTCTGGCGTGGAGCGATCAGCGATCAACTCTGGATGAGTGTGGGCGAAACGGTCCCAGACGCTTTCGGTTTTGCCGTCTTCGAGCCAGCCTCCCTCGATCTGGGTGGCAGCATTGGCGACGCCAAACTTGAAGCCTTCAGGGAAGTACCGGGAATTGATCTCGTCATCTGTCAGTCTTCAAAACAAATTAGCTGTGCGTCTACTGCATTAGAAACAGTCTCTAACAGTCAGACGCGATTTTGCTTTGGTTCAAAACAACGAATTTTGAGCCAAACGTAAGCGTTATATCGGAATGCGCGTGCTCTGACTATTAGAAACTGTTTTGGATTGCTCAACGATCCAATATCTTATTGCAAAGAAAAAATGAATACCTCCATCCTTAACCATAAAAATATCGGACTTACCCTGCAGAAAAAAGGGACAACACCAAGACAAGGACCTTCATCATTGCTAGCATTACTAGGAATACCCAAAGTATTTTATTTCCAATCCTTTATACTCAAACTTATCTAAATATATTATTACACTTTGGAAAAATAATAATTAAATGTAGGTAGTTAAAACGTATATCTGCTGTACTTAGAGATATGGATACACATATCATATATTTGTAGGTATGTACCTACTTCACATATTTTTAAAAACGCTTCTTTCGCCAATATATCTACCCAAACACTTCAATTTTTAGACCTCTGCACGTTATTGATATAAGGATGTATATATTTACTTGACAATTGTATGTTTAAGCCTTTATAAAAAATATTTAGTATCATATTCAAGAAAACGTCTTTCATATTTATGATTTTCTTGGTATATTTTGCGGTACCAAGGAATGGATAATAATCACGATCACGTGCTATTCTTAACAATTTCTAACGATATGAATGTCACAACAGTGGCGTGACAATAACTGCCAGTTTATTATAAAACAAGTAGAACTTAAGTTATTGATAAGATATCGATACTTGTAGTATTCTTAACAATATTTGTAGTAAGGTATTGCTTTTGGCATATCTTGGAAAATATTTCAAACCTAATTGTAATAACAATTATTGTAAGTGTTTGTATAAAAATAATTGTTAAAAATTGGCTATCGATTTATAAAAAACTTACACAATGGAATATTATTGTTAATAAAGTTACACTATTACTGAAATTAAGGATATTTTTTCCATCATTATTTATACCTGGTTTTCAATCCATAATTTACTTATTAAAACGCACTGTGATATTTCATCAATTTCAAATATACCTATTTATTTTAATTTTTTGTTTCAGTTTAAAATGTCCTGGTTCTTAGTGAGCGACACTATATATGTGCGAAAATATGCATAAAATTATCAACAAAATGGGACATTTGGAGATAGATTTTTTTTTAATATTATATCAAATAAATAAAGAAAACCAAACCATGTATTAGTCACAAGTATATTTGTGGTTATTAATAGTGTTATTTCGTTTTACTCATCATTTTGATGTGATTTATTACATAAAAGCATGTTTTATTGGTCTGACGAATAAAAGAACACGGCCGTGTTCATTTACGAACAGGTGTCTTCCAAGCAACGATTTTTAATCACTTCGGTCAGCCACGTGGCGGATTTTCTGGGAGTCCTGGTTCTCTCTGGATCCGAGAAATTCACTCTGTTGAGGCCCATGGCTATCCTGAATATAAAACAGAACTGAAAGTATTCAATATAAATAAAAGCTAACGTTTCTTACGATACTCCCCCGCTCCATTCCCATGTGTCTATCAAACTCCACACGGTGTAGCCGGTCAGGTTGATTCCATCGGTGAATATAGCATCTAGACAGGCGCTTAGATGGCCCTGCATAAAACAAGAATTGTTGACACTTTAAACACATGTAGATTTTGAGGTTAAAAATAGTAAAGGCTTTCCATTTAATTGATCTTACTCTTAGTTCTGGAGTAGTTAGATTACTTGGTTGGCAAACCCTTTTTCACTAATAAATTAATAAGTAGCCCCACAATAAAATATGAATTACGAATATCCTTTTTGTACGACAGTTCATTATTTGTCCCAAGTCATTACCTGGATATATGTAACTCTGTGATCATCCTCTAAGACTCCAGTTTTATCGGATCTCCCATTTTCTGTAATAACAATTTCAATATCTCCATAAGTGGTCTTCAACCAGTTGAGAAAACTGCGTAGTCCCCAAGGTGTATCCTGCAATACAAAAAAAAAAAAACTTTCCGATATAGGACTTGGATTCTTTACTCTAACAGCCTTGGCAAAAATTGATCAATCACGTAAGACGTCAGTAACTTTTGGGAGGAATTTTATTAATGTTTAACAAATTAAAAAATTAGGAAAATGCGTTCTTCTATAATTATATTGAAATACACACCACGATGTGTGTCCCATTGCAAGTAGGCCACGATGATTCTCTGTATGTGGTAGCGCTTATGTCGCTATCAAAATTTGGATCGCCGATGTCAGCGTCTGGTTTAGCTTCAACCATGTTGCTGGAGTAATAGTTGACTGCCATAAAATCGTATGTGCCCCTGATGAATTGAATTTCTTCATCGGTGAACGCCGGAAGGCGGGAAGTTTCCAATCCCTCTAGACTGCTTCGGTTGCCGACACGATTGATGATGACTTCCGGCCAGTTGCCTTTGTAGACTGGATTTCCATAAAGACCAAACTAGAAATGATTCAGACCACAGAAATATATAAAACGGAACAGAATAACTATTTACATTAAACTGTAACACTCTCTCTGCTGCCTCAACATCTTCACCAGAATTAGTGTTTGGTTCATACCAGTCAGTATCAATGACTATGGATACTCTCCCTGAAACAAAACAACAACCGAAATGGTAGATATAGATTATTAAAACTCTTGGAATCTTTTTATAAACATATATTTGCAGTTCCCTTGACATTACTCCTATTCCCTACCATTATTTTGTGCTCGAAATTCCTGATCGTAAATGTGGTACGCTTTGGCATGTCCCAAAACAATGTTCCTAGCGCAAATGTATTCATTAACGCCGCTCCCTCTTACACCTGGAGCTCCTCCACCAGTGCCATATCCCGAATGGCACAAGTTCTTCGGCTCATTGATGGTTAGCCATATTTTCACGTCATCCTTAAAGAGTTCAAAGCATACCCTAGCGTAATCGGCGAAGAGATCCGTAATCGTCTCGTTCAACCACCCTCCGTAAGAGTCTTGTAGGCTCTGGGGAAGATCCCAGTGATGCAGCGTCACCATGGGTTCAATTCCATTTGCTTTCATCTCAGCGAACAGTTTCTTATAATACGCCACTCCAGCCTGGTTGATTTTATCAGCAAACCCTGTGGGGAGGATTCTGGTCCAAGCTATGGACATTCGGTAGTGGTCCAAACCTATAGCCTTGGCCAAAGCTATGTCCTCTTTGTACTTGTGGTAAGAATCGCTGGCTATGTCCGGAGAGGAACGATCGCCTATCCTATCAGGGTTCTGGTGGACAAATTTGTCCCATATGGTTTCAGTCTTGCCGTCTTCGTCCCATGCTCCCTCTACTTGCTGGGCAGCGGTTGCAGCACCAAATTTGAAATTGTCGGGAAAGTAATTTGAATTCCACGCCAAACTAAAATTAAAGTATGTGATACATTTGTACAAATTACACCGGCATACCTGTAACAGTAAGTAATGTTTTATATTTTTTTTAACATACCTGACTGATAATAAGCAAGATAACACAATTAAGGGTCTCATCATGCTGATCAAAAGAAACTACATGTCTCCAGCATATACTGTCGTTTAAATAGCTTGAATGTTTCCATATTTAATTAATTTGTTGATATGAAATATGATCTGAAGTGTTTAATTTATTTTAAAAAACAATATAAGTATAATCTCAACAAGGTGGTAATTATAGTCTTGTTACAAGTATAGGGAATTTATTTGTATCATATTCCAAAAGTTAGGTATACAACATATTATACTCTATTCACAGATAAACACGCAGCACGTAGGGTACTTCTTTCAGATTAAACTTTATTGCCTTCTTCATTTTGTTGTTCCAGGATAACACAGACCTAGAAAAGTTAATGAACAAGATACGAATTTGGAACGTACCCTATAGCTATGTATTTTCTGTCACAGAAAAACCGTTAAGTATTCTGTGCTTCTGTCTTTTGTAAACTTTAACTTTAACTGCGACTTCGTGAATATGGCGTAAAAACTAGACATTGATTGGCTGATTTTAAAAATACATAATTCGATTGGCTACTGTCTATTACATATTTGAAATAATTCGAAATCACAGTGCAAAAGAAGATACTATACGATATTTAATCCAATTCACGACTGCATTGAGTCGATAAAATTGATGAGTTAGGCCGTGTTTCTTTATTTCATCGTTTTGTTAGTTCCATATATTGTTTGTGTTCCATATATGTAATATTATTAGTTTGTTTAAGTGATCCTAATTTCTGATTGGTTTTACATAATCAACCGCACCGAAAAGATGTTCGAAATAACACGGCCTGACGCTTCGATTGTGTGGGCTGAATGCAACCCATAACACAAGTTTGTATGACGAATCCAATCCACACTTTGTCCAATGCTCTTGCTCAATTTAATTTTTATTTCTAGGTTACAATCTCTATGAAAATGTCGGCTAGGTCAAATTGGCTGAAATTGTGGTAAGTTGTGCGTTTTGTGTTACTGACCAAAAATCAGTACTTGGGTCCAAAAGTTAATTCTTTCCTACTGATAGCGGTCTGAGTCAGTTCTGGTGATGATGACTGTAAACTACTATGAGTAGAATATTGCAATAAAAACAGTAACTTTTGTGAAATGTTTATAGAAAAAATTTACCGGATGACTTCGAAGAGTTGCTAATTAATATTTTTGACATGTGCTTATTATGATTAATTAATGTGTTAATAGTTTCATAAAAGCATTCTGTATTCAAGTAAAAATAAGCGTAAAGTTTTCTCTTAAAACAATCCCTAAAGGCACTATGACATTTCGAAGACTGGAAGTAAAACAGTTACATATTTAATCATGATCACGTGCTTAACATTCGAATGCAAAGAGCTTATGAATGTCGTAACAATGGTGCGGCAATGAAAGGTACGTGCTAAGATAATAAGATACCAATATTAGTAGTATTCCTAACAACATTTATAGTACGTTTTTTTGCATATCTTGGAAAACACTTCCCAGTTTGATGATCGGCTGTACTTAATATAATATAATTATAATTATGTGTTTGTTACTTCTCAAGTAAAAAGTGGGTTGATTAATACTTCCGTGGGAAGATAACAGGAAATTTGCACTTTTGCTAATACTCTTCATTTAAGTTCTAGAATTATTTAAGGTGACTAAAAATTTCGATATGTTCCCTGTAATGGCATTTTTTGACCCATTTCTTACTCATATGGAGTTAAAAACAAAAATAGTAAAGTCCTTCCGAAGTCAGTTGAACTTGCACGAAAACGTCTAGTAATAAAATTTAATGAGTTTCATAGGCGTCCCTAAAAAATTTTCTGATAAAGGTAAAAAATTATAATAATTTGTATATAATGTGTAGAAAATTTCTATTATATGTTCATTTGGCACATATTTTAATTATTTATGTCCTCTAACAATTTTATTATATTGGTGGTAAATTTTGTTTTGTTCCGTTTCAAAAGGTCTCCAAAATGCCATGTTGTGATAATATTAGTAAACAAAATATCCCTCTTACTTCTCCCTTTCGCATTTGTAATATGAATGATTGATAGAAGGTGCCTATAATAAATTAAAATTGCCTGATTCACACCAAATTCCGCCCGTCGTCTGCTGTGATTTATTGCCCAGAAGCCCAATACAACCGTGCTCGTTTTCATTTGGCCGCGCTCGCATTCTTCAATTGGTCGTATACATTTCTACCCCTGTACACTAGTTCGACCAGATCTATATATGGGTATGGCTAAATAAATATGGGAACAAGTTTTTCAAATATTTCAATGCCGAGTTGCTGTTTAGCGACCGAGCCTGGTACATACCTTGAAATTATAGGTTCTTCAATTTACTTCGGGAAAACTATACCACCTAAACGATATTTTAGATTTTTTCAGCCACACCTGGTGTCTCAAAACCCACGGCACAACCTAGGTATTAAAATAAAGTGTTTCGAAAACTGTCATCAAGTCGACATTTTCATTAAATTTTCAATTGACAATGTGAGTCTTTTTTGTCACCTAGCTGCAACATAATTTTATTTTCTAGAACGCCATAGTCTTTTTCGTTCTAGAGCATAAAACGAATGTCAAAATAATTCGTCATTTTTTATGTTAAATTTATGCCAGATCCAGTGCTGTTAGTTACCGCAGCTTTTAATTCTTGGTGTTCAATCAGGCTGCTGCTGCAATTGTTTAAGTTTACTGATGCGCACGTTGTATTATTGGCAAGTTCTGTAGGCTCTGCTAAAGATGGTAACAATTTATTTGCGAGCGATTGAAATTTTATTTTGTCGTAGAACTCCAGACCCCATGTCGATTAATTTTGGTAATATCAACCCCAGCGTTGGCTAACAGAGTAGTGGAAGAACGTCTAAAGCAGTGCCTGGTATAAGTTTCCGGAAGAGGCAAATTGAGATAAGTGGTGATTTCTTTTGGCACATTCCTTATTTTGTTGACGCCAATCACTTGGTTAACACATTTTTCTCTGGCATACTTCACAAAAAATCTCCGCACAGTATTTGCGGTATATCTTCATTTGATCTGGACTTGAAATCATAAAACGTCTCAAGAGTTTTGGAATCGGGAATTCTTATAATAATAAATGAATCTTTGTCTTCTATATCATCCACAAACACTATTTCTAAAAGAATCCGCTTCGGATACTTTTTGAATTTTCTTCGAAATTTGCCCATATCGTTAGAGTCTCACAGCTTATGAGTTCGCGTTTAGTGACGTCAGTGCTAGTGGTTTGGTCAGCTTTCATTCATTTTAATTAAGTCTATTTACTAAGTAATGTTATTGCGACTTTGCTTGAACATTTCATGTCATTGTTTTAACTAGAAAGTTTATTGGAAACGATCCACAAAAAGTTTCAGAAACATTATATACGTATAGCAACTTGCATTTAATTTAAAATATAAAACAAAAAAAACGTTGTAGTGGAACGGAGTTATTTATATTGCTCTAACTTTTCTCGGAAAGATCCAAACAGTGTTTTAGTCTAATGTTGATATATCTATTATAAATACATGTATGTATGATGAATGGATAATAATCACGATCACGTTCTATTTTTAACAAATTTTTAACAATATGTATGTAACAACCGTGATGTGACAATGCCTGCCAGTTAGAACTTAAATTAAGATATCGGTACTTGTAGTATTCCTTTTCTATTTATAGTAAGGTATGGCGTTTTGCATATGTTGGAAAACATTTCAAATTTGATGATTAATTGTAATACCGATTATTATAAGTGTTTGATTCCTCTTAAATAACAAGTGGGTGACACAAGATCTTGAGATAGGTAGCCAACGAGGGAAAATGAAATTTACCATCCTCCGCCATTGTGGTGCTAGATATCCCTCAGATGGGGAGTCCACGATCTGGTCGATCGAGATCGAGAATGACTGCGTTCCTGGCTGGTACGGCTGTCTGGATGAAATTTGAAGTCTGGAAGTAGACTGAGATGCAACACCTATTTAATAATAATTATTGATAAAAACTTGCTATCAGCCTAAAAAAAAAGTTACACAATGGAATATTATTGTTAATAAAGTTATACTACAAATGACGAACGACCAAAATGTAAAAAAAATAGGGATATGTTGAAACAACTTTTTGAATTATTATACAGGGTGTCGCGTATAAGAATAATAAAATTATTTTATTTCAACAATTGCCTCCGACTGTTGTTAAAAAAATATCAATGATTATTTTGATTATTTATTCGTGTTTTTTACTTAATACAATATTCGCTTATTTAAAAACTACTTACCTAGGTACTTGTGTTCTTTTTGCAGAATTAGGAGAGAAGTGAAGTAAAATTTATTTGGCTAATTGTCAAATTTGAAAGATAAAGCCTACTACTGACTTTTTGATTATTTTCTAACGAACACTGTTAAAATCTTGTGTCAGTCAGTACGGTTTTTCTTGAAAACCATAAAGTTTTTTAAAATTTAACAAAAGTAAAAAAAATTAAAATTAAATTCTGCTGTGAATTAATATGTATTACTATTTTTCACTTCGGTCAGTGAAAAAAAAGTACAATTTTAGGGGCGAGTCATCCGCAATGAGCACCTTGTAGTGCTTCAATTAACTTTAAATCATAGTTAAAGGAGACCAGTAATAAACCTAAATCATATACCAAATTTGGTTCTTATACAGTAAAGTGTTGCAGAAATATTGATTTTTTTTCGAAATTTAGGGCTCCACTTTGAGGAGTAATAACTCATCAGGTAAGTTTGGTTAAATTACAATATTTTGGACACCCCTACATGTACCTGCCCTGTGTCAGTTCTTATGGGGGACATTTTTTTTATAAGCGACTTTTAGGAAGATCGCGTTGGGAACTTTTTTTAATTAATCATTAGCATCACTTAAAACCCTGTATGTCAAATTTCATCGATTTATAATGCCGAATATATTTTTTTACACAGTAAATTTTATGTTTCTGGCACTGTATATGTATATCTGAAGACGTGAATTTAACGAATTGGTAAATAAGGGACCTAATATTGTAGAAATATATAAGGTTATTATGAAAATAGGGTATTCCATTTTCTAACCATAATCAGTAACTGGTTAATCGATACGATTTCACGATTTC